TTGTCTCTTCTAAACCATGTCTTATCTTTTGGGCTTTGTGTGGGGAGAGGGAAGGTGGTGGCTGATAGCCCTTCAGGCTGAAGTCCTCTCAAATGCTTTTGTGCCTCTGCCTTGAACCAGGAGCACCCAAGGAGAAACCTGGTCCCTTTTTAACACATCCTATGGTGATGGGCTCTATGGGACAGTGGCTGGACCCTGAGCATCACACTTTGGCTTGCATAAGTCACTGGTGTGTTTTGATGCTGACCTGCTGCCCCAAACTGCGTCATACTGTTGTGTGTCTGTGCTGATAAAGAGGCATTGAGAGGGAAGAAATGGCATGTCAGCACTATATTTGTAGCTGCTTCTTTTTCTTAAACACAGACCCACCTGCTATATCTGATCTGTGGGGAGATCTGTGGTCAAGGTGAGGTTCTTTAAGGGCTAATGCAGCTGGCAAGGCTGTAAAATCACAAGCTTATTAATGTCTTCTGCTGGTGTTTGCTCATGGCCAGGCTCTGTTCTCACCTGGTGCTTCTCCTTCCGTCAGATCCACAGCAGGTATGAGGGAAAGAAAACCTCTAAGCACAAGAGGAACTTGGCCATTACTGGTGGGGTCACCTTGTCTGTCATTGCCTCTCCGGTCATCGCTGCTGTCAGTGTTGGTAAGTGGGCACAGTCCCTGTCCCTTCTGGTGGGCCAGTAGTCCAGCCCTGTGAGATGGGGGTGGCCAAAAGGCAGTTTGCAGATTGCTGCTGTGTGCTTTTCTGGGGACATCCCTCAGTTTCGCATCCAGGCTGCATGTCCTCATGTGCTTGAGTTGGCCTGGAGCCAGCACTGGGCTTGTCTAGAGCACCAGTTGCCTGTGCCACAGCCCATAGTGGAGTCCCTTGACACACAGAGCTGTCTGTTACCCATGGACTGGTTTGGTGGCTGACGTCTTGGGGGTTCAGCCGAGGCTGTCTGTGCTCTTGGGGTTCCCTCATTCTGCACTGCAGCAGCACAAACGAAGGGCTCCTCCACTGTCTGTCTGCAAAGTTGTGAACTAGGACCTTTAAAAGCAGTGGAAACAACTGAGAGAGTCCCTACCCCAAAGAGTCCTTTCTGTCTGCCCAACACAGCTCAGCCTTAAGCTCCTCTTAACTCGGCGCATCCTACTCTCCAGGTATTGGAGTCCCCATCATGCTGGCTTACGTCTATGGTGTCGTGCCGATCTCGCTGTGCCGAGGTGGTGGCTGTGGAGTTAGCACCGCCAATGGAAAGGGTGTGAAAATAGAGTTTGATGAAGATGATGGACCAATCACAGGTAATGTGATAACTGGTGAAGGGAAGGGGGCGAAGCAAGACCCTGTTATTGCCTCTTGTAATGAAATGGTAGGGGGTCTTAACGTTTCCCAAATCTGAACATCTGTCTTTACCTGGGTTTGGCTAGAAGCAGTTATTTGCTTCAGTCTCCTGGTGATCAGCTGTGTAGCTCTCAAAGCGAAATCTCAGCTCTTCCTTGCCCTGGACGAGGCAGGGAGGCAGTCTGAGATGAGACACATGCTGCCTGATGTCTGACCCCCAGCTCTGCCAGCACCATTGCAGCTGAACGGTTCCCTTGCCGATTCTGATTCCTCTGCTCTTCTTCCCCGCAGTGGCTGATGCCTGGCGAGCCCTCAAGAACCCCAGCATTGGCGAAAGCAGCATTGAGGGGCTGACCAGTGTGCTGAGCACCAGCGGCAGCCCCACCGATGGGCTCAGCGTGATGCAAGGCAACTACAGCGAGACAGCCAGCTTCGCTGCCCTCTCGGGCGGTACCCTGAGTGGTGGTGTCCTCTCGGGAGGCAAGGGGAAGTACAGCAGGTAACTGAACTGATGGGCACAGCCAGAAAGGGGGAGAGACTCCCAAGGCCTGTGCTGGTTGGGCAGGCTTATTTTGGGAAGCTCTCCAGGACTGTGAGTGGTCCTTCTTTGACTTGGGAATCATGTCCTAGTATTTTTACTACTTGGTCGGTTGTAGAATAACCAGTCCCAGCAGACCAGGCTACTTCTGGAGTCAGTGCTGGGCTGGTTCTTGCAAGGAGGACAAAAGATAAACAAGTTTCTGTCCCTACTGAGCTCCTTGAAACTGCAGAGCTGATGCTTCAGGATAATTGGGAACAGCGCAGAGATGCCTGCGTGGCCTGCTTAAAGATCTTCCAGTCCTCTGATCTCAGCCTAGAGGCTTTGATGCTTCCTGTTCTCCAGTGGCCTATAGCAAGCAGGGTCACTGCTTTCCAAGTCAGGAGGTTACACCACAGTTTTCCTCTAAACTTGCCTGTGAGTCAGTTTGCTGGGTAATTAAAGACACGTGTTGATATGGCAGCCAGGATATAATCATGGCTGTGTGCTAGATCTGTGGAAATCGGTTCTTCACAGGAATTGCATGAGTCATAGATATAAACACAACTTTACCTTCGTCATGGAAAACAGAATGGGTTTACTTAAATGGAGCCAAAAATGAGACTAAATGAGAGGAACCGTTGGGGTTAAACACTGTCATGCTGAGCTGGGGCAGCACAGAGGGCATCTTGCTCTCCCGTGATGAACAGCAACTGTTTGGTGCCCCTTGGGAACCATCTAAGGCATTTCTGAGGAATCCTCTTCTTCCCTGCAGGCTGGAAGTTCAGGCAGATGTCCAGAAGGAGATTTTCCCCAAAGACTCAGTCAGCTTGGGGGCTATCAGTGACAATGCCAGCACTCGAGCCATGGCTGGTTCCATCATCAGCTCCTACAACCCCCAGGACAGGTAGGAGGACATGCGATGGTGGGAAGAGTGTTGGTCGTGGTTGTCCTGGAAAAATCTGTGCTCTGTGAGGTGCCGCTGTAGGTGGCGAGATGACTGTAATTGCACCAGCCTGCTCTTCTGTAGCTGGCAAGTGGATTGATCCTTTTACTTGCACAGAAGGACAACTGGGGGCAATTTGGGCGCAGCTTTCATGTGTCATGTGGAGGCTGAGGAGGGGATCTGCAGCCCAGGACCCTCAAGGTCTGTTCCTGGCTGCTTGCGGGGACTCTGGTGCTTTCAGTTCCTGGCTCAGCCTGGGGATGATCTTGGCTGCTGTTAGGAGGACTCAAGGAGAGCAGCGAGTGATGTTGTTTCCCAGATGCTGTGGGGTGATGAGCAGCATCTTGGTCATGTTTGGGAAATGTGGTCCTCCCAGTACAGTGATGCAGTGCCTGGTGGTGACCCAGTCGAACCCAGTAACTGTGTACCCAGTAACGCAAGGGTGCTTGTTTCTGCAGGGAGTGCAATAACATGGAGATCCAGGTGGACATCGAAGCCAAACCAAGTCACTACCAGCTGGCCAGCGGCAGCAGTACAGAGGACTCTCTGCATGTCCACACCCAAATGGCAGAGAATGAGGAAGAGGAGGAGGAGGAGGAAGAGGATGGTGAGCAGGAGCAGACGTGCAAACACCAAAGCTGTGAGCAAAAGGACTGCATTGCCAGCAAAACGTGGGACATCACCCTGGCCCAGCCTGAGAGCATACGGAGTGACCTGGAGAGCTCCGACAGTCAGTCGGACGATGTGCCAGACATTACATCGGATGAATGCGACTCCCCGCACTCTCAGACTGCAGCAGCCTGCCCACAGACCCCCAAAGCTAGAGGTGCCGAGAGCCCAAGTGCCCACCTGAGCCACTGTGCCCAAGCCGAGGGCTGCAGGCTGGATGATATAGTCAAACTGGAGTGTATCGAAGCCAGAGTATGAAGTGGCCTCCTG